TAGTATTATAATTGTTCCAGAAGACAGTGCCATAGGGCACAGTAAGATGAGTAAAGAAATTTAAATGCCCAGCAGAAAAAGTAACAAGAGTCATTGCCAGCCGTTGCTCAATTTTGGGAAATAGTTGACATGCACACATAGAAACAAAACCCCACACACATTTTAAAAGACTTGTTTTAACTTGAGTAGAGGGAAAACCTAAAAAAACCTAATGAATAATTTAACATGTAAAATGTAATTGTTTCTGCCAAAAATATATGCAAAATAAAATCCCCCTTGTTATCCTTATTCACACTGGAATTCCTGTTTGTTGTCTTTCTATATTCTTTTCTCCATGCAATTAAGGCTAGCTTACACTTTTCCTTTGCAACAACTTTGTGATAGGCTAAATTGAGAAATTTGTTTACAGCCACCTGGATAGGGTTCATACATAGTAGTAAGCAAACTGGCAGGGATTAGACCATACATACAAAACTATTAAAACCTTGGTGGACAAACCACAAATGGCCAAGCTAAAACCATGTAATCCACATGCAGTCCCGGCACACTGCATGAGCTCAGCTGCAAACTTCTCAAGTTGGAATTGCTCATTTGGTCATTGACACCAACCCAAACCAAAGCAGACAACAGCTGCTCGGCCTGTGTTGAACACATCCAGCAGAGAGAAGCCCCCCGTTGCTCTTGGCCATTGGCTTTATTGTCCAACTCCTCTGTTAGGACATTTTTTCACAACATTCAAGTGGACTCTGCCTTCCTGCACTTTAAATCCATCATCCTGGATCCTGCATTCTGGAGTGAAAGAAATCAGGTCCTGACCTCCTCCTGGGTGACCTCCTTTTAGGTATTTGAAGAGTGCTAATGCATCCTTCACCCGGCATGCCCTGCCCAACCCCTCTCAAGGCTACTCATCCTCATCTCCCTAAATCTGTCTTCAAAAGTCTGCTCATCCTCACTGCCCTCTGAATCCATAGAAGTCCGCAAGTGACGGAACAGCCTTCCTGGCCTTGTGATACCAGCTCTGCTCCTTCTGTACTTGAGTGCAACACCATGAAGCACGTATGAAAGGGCGGAGCTTGTGCTATGACCTTGCAATGCATGTTTCTTCACTTCCACATCGTCGTGTTAGGAACAGATGCTTAGATCTGAACCTTGCCAATTCCCCCGAATCCTCTTCCAAGCGGGGTGCCAAAAACTCGGCATGGTCCTGGAGGAATTTAGAATTCATAGCTCCCTGAACCGGCAACTCCCAGCACTGTTGGGCTCTAAAGCCAGGGCCACTGAAGGCCCTGCCTCTGAGCAAGGCCTTCCCTTCCCGTTGTTTTCTCAGAAAGCCTACGCGGCCTTCCCCCAAGATGGCTGGACGGCAGTCCAGGCCTTCTGCCGTGCCACAGAGAGGAGCTTCGGCTCTGTCGGGTCGGGGATGCTCAGCAACTGCATCCGACCTCCGCTTCCCCGTCGCCATGGCAACGGCGGCGGTCCCCGCCTGGGCGGGCCGCCTCCGGCCCAGCATGCCTTGTGCGCGGGCAAGATGGCGGCGCCCAGTCCCGGCGCGGGGCGGCCGGCTCCCGCTTTCCCCTTCCCCTTCCCGGGCTCTCCAAGCGAGCATCCCGCGGAGGAGGAGCCGCCGTCGGAGGAGAAAAGGCGGAAGAAGCCGCCCTGCC